GTGTCTGGGAGAAAGCTGCTGACATTTCCCACGCGCGCGCGGACGCTTCCAGCTGCCTCCCCATTGGTGGGAACCGCCTCTGCTCACGCCGGGTTGGTATTGCTTATGTCAAAACCCAGGAAATGCTAGACGAATGTGGAAATGCTGGTTTAGCAAAGCCCAGTTCCCAGTTCATTAAACGCCGCTGGGTTCCTAAGTGGTTTACACTGCAGCACCGGCGAGTTATGTCTCGTTCGCAATGAAGCAAAACTTCTGATTTCTTACTACCCATCTCTCAATTAACACTTGAAACAAGCACTGCTTCACTCTTCAAAAAATAAAACGATGGGCAGAAGTGGAATTGGCAGTGAAGATGGAAAATCTTTTAGAAACCAATGTTTCTGTTATCTTATGTTTGCCAATCAATATATTTGAAAATGCTTTCTCCTGGAAACCAAGAATGCCTATGAAGTTCAAGCTTATTTTTTTTAATAATAATAATTAAAAAACTAGAAACGCTTCTAGATTAACTATAGAAGTAGTTTGATTTTAAATACTCCATCATTTTTCACACTTAATGAGCAGAAATCAAAAGTTTCTCTGTGGAATGTATTCCCCCCCTCCCCCCAAACGGAAGAACAAGCTCTTAAGATGTCAACATATGTATCTATAGGGAGTTTTTCTACTTGCATTTACCTCTGCAGTCCTGGGCACAACTCTCTTTGCCTGCTACTGCTGGCAGAGAACACTTATGAATGCATCAGCATTGGAAAGGAACTGGCTAAAGACCTTTTTAGCTTCTTTAGTTATAATAAGGACTATTAAGAGAGTAATGTATTCATCTAATATGTCAAAAAACTAATTTACAAAATAAGTAAAGTGATATTAACTATAAAACATCTGCTGTGTGGTAAGAAAATGAAGTGTCTATTAATAACGGGGGCGGGGGGCTGATATTTCTCCTTAGCATCTTTTGAAACTCTTAATCTCTAAATACACCCATTGTCATGTTTCATTAGAGACGGTTTTTGTAATCTGCAAAAGGGTTTGTTCTAGTAAAAATATTTTCCTGTTCGAGATTTGAGAAGCCCCAAGGCAATTCCTACATAATGATTTTCTTTAATTGCGTGGTTCCATTATAATACTTTAATGTAGTTTTAAAAAACCACCTCCTCTTATGAAGATGAAGTGAAATTGTTTCTTTGAACATATCTGGAATGACATGCCAGAAGAGGAGCCGTGATCTCTCTGCAGATCCTCTGGGTCTGCCATCCACCACCCTGGGCCCGCCTCACTGGGAAGATGACCTGGGGCCCCTCCACTAAGGGGCTCACAGCCTAGCCTCGGGAGACAAAACCCTCTGGATCACCCCCAGGGCACTTGAGAGAGGTTTGTCCCCAGGACAGGCCATGTTTCTCTCGCATCTTCACCGATGACCTCTGTAGCTTCCAAAATTCATCCAGGGAAGGGACAGCACCAGAAGGCTCAGGGGCCGAGTGCAAGACAGGACTGGCATCTGCACTCAGCACCTTTCTGCCCACGGACCTCAGCAAACCCCCAGCAAGCAGGAAGAAGGCCCAGTGGGCAACAGGAGACAGAGCTCAGACCTCTTCTTCTGTGGCCTTGTCTCCTCACCTCTGAACGACAAGTTTCTCTCGCATCTTCACCGATGACCTCTGCAGCTTCCAAAATTCATTCAGGGAAGGGACAGCACCAGAAGGCTCAGAGGCCGAGTGAAAGACAGACTGGCATCCACACTCAGCACCTTTCTGCCCACAGCAAACCCCCAGCAAGCAGGAAGAAGGCCCGGCGGGCAACAGGAGACAGAGTTCAGACCGCTTCTTCTGTGGCCTTGTCTCCTCACCTCTGAACGACAAGAGGTGCTTGGACGAGATCCCGATCCCTTCTCCATCTAAAATCATGTGGTTCTGGGGAGCTAACAAGAAGTTATTTCCAATTTCAAAATGGTACCTGGGATTGAACTTTTGTATGGTTCCTGCACTTGCTGTTCTTAGGAAAATGTTCTTTGAATGCTGAAAGATTCTGATCCCTTCTCCATCTAAAATCACGTGGTTCTGGGGAGCTAACAAGAAGTGAGTTATTCCCAATTTCAAAATGGCACCTGGGATTGAACTTTTGTATGGTTCCAACACTTGCTGTTCTTAGGAAAATGTTCTTTGAATGCTGAGCTATAGTTAACATAAAACATCCACTGGCATTGCCCTGGCTGGTTTGGCTCAGTGGATAGAGCACTGGACTGTGGACTGGAAGGTCCCAGGTTCGATTCCGCTCAAGGGCACATGCTCGGGTTATGGGCTCAATTCCAGCGGGGGGCGTGCAGAAGGCAGCCGATCAATGATACTCTCTCATCATTGACGTTTCTATTTCTCTCTCCCTCTCCCTTCCTCTCTGAAATCAATAAAAATGTATT